TATGATTTATTTTGCATTCAGTATACACGCTTAAGTAGTGCGATGAAGAACATTTATGGTAGTTTCTCCAGCGGCATAAATTTGTAATCTTGTAAACTTGTAATTATCATTCTGCAGGTTAAAACATCATATACTAATTTACATAGATAGTATCTAATCGATTTCTTTTAATCCACGTGCATTATTATTTTATTATATTTAAATTTGAGCTATGATATAAAAACGTCCACAGTTGGCACGGTCCCGAAAGTTCAAAATATACAGTGGTACCGACACCGTTATAATGATCAAATCCATAGGCAATGCCCGATCAGGTCTGTTATTATAAAACAGTCTGAAGTTAGCGATGGTAAATACTTCTGTGATTTTCTATTCTTTAGATACTTAGGACGTTTTGGGGTAGGGTAAATTTCAATTTTTTTAATAGAAGAGGGGGCAAATGAGTATGCAGCTCACCTGATGTTAAGTGACTACCGCCGCCCATGATCAACCGCAATATTAGGGGAATTGCAGGTGCGTTGCCGGCCCTTTAGAAGGGAGCAAGCTCTTTTCTTGATTGTCCCCAGGTCGTATCGATCCAGAAAAATCGCCGGTGGTAAATTATTCCACAGAGAGGTCGTACGTGGAAGAAAACTCCTTGTGAAACGTACAGTGGTGGCCCACCAAGCATGCAGATGGTGTGGATGGTATCGGGACGTTTGCCGCGTAGTGCGTTCACGAAATTTGGCAGCTGGGATTAATCCGAACAATTCCTCAGAGCACTCTCCGTGGTATATGCGAAAGAAAATGCAAAGAGATGCAAGATCTCTTCGCAGCGCCAGTGAATCGCTCTGCGCTGGATGCGGTCAAGTGGAAGGAGCTGGTACTGGGGAGCCCCATCCCAGAGATGGGAACAGTATTCCATGTGCGGCCAAACCTGCGCCTGGTAAAGTTGCAGGTGGTGTGCCGGCATGAAACACTGTCCCGCTCTGCTGAGCACGCCAAGCTTTTTAGAGGACAATTGGGCCTTCTCTTCCAAGTGACCACGAAACTGCACGTCACTCAATATATCGAACGCGAGGATTCCGATACTGGCTGAGGCAACAAGGGGAGTGCCTTGAAACTGAGGAGATACGTTAAAGGGGTTCTTTTTTGCGGGTAACGCGCAAATTTGTGTCTTCTGAGTGTTAAACTGGACTAGATTTAGTCGCCCCCAATCCGAGACTGTGCTTAGCAAAGACTTCAGACACAAGTTTGTCCCGGTATTCGGAGACGTTTTCCCGAGAAATATTTGCACGGCCGGTGTACAGAGCATCACCAGTGCTGTCATCTGCATAGCAATGAATATTACGGGTTTCCACCATATTATTGATATGCAGAAGAAACAGCGTTGGCGGTAGCACGCAACCTTGTGGAACACCAGCATTAATAGGCTTGTAATCGGAGCTTGCACCGTCTACAACGACCTTGATGCTCCGATCTGCAACAAAGCTGGTGATCCAATTGCACAATTTCTCGGGAAACCCATAGGAAGGGAGCTTCGAAAGAATTGCTTTGTGCCAAAACCGATCGAAGGCCTTCGTATGTCCAAACTAATGGCCAATGCCTTCCCCTTGGACCCTAATGCCTTCACCCATCTCTGAGTTAGGTAGACTAAAAGATCACCAGCTGATCAAACATGATGAAAACCGTATTGGCGATCACTAATCAGCTGGTGATCCTCAAGGTACCTCATGAGCTGGCAGTTTACAATGGACTCCATTGTTTTGGAGAACAAGGAGGTGACGGCGATAGGCCTGTAGTTGGACGGGTTTGAGTGGGTGCCTTTTTAGGGATCGGGTGGACGAAAGCCGTCTCCCACGATTTTGGGACTACACCTAGGGAGTAGGAGTACCGGAAAAGACGCGTTAAAACCAGTGCTAACTCTGGAGCACACGTCCTCAGCACAATTGAGGGGATTCCGTCAGGCCCACTCGACTTGTGGATGTCCACGTAGAGGAGTGCTTTGCAAATCGAGCGCTGTATGAACTGTACTTCCGGCAAGGAACACTGCGGAATGGTCGGCGGCGTACTCCCCCCGTCATCGAGAGTCGAGTTGGACGCAAAAAAAGAGCCTAGCAGATCGGCTTTCTCCTTTGCGGTATGGGCCAGTGAGTCGTCCTCTAATGTCATAAAATATTAAAGTCATATATATTAAAAACAATTTTTGGTTAATTTTACATAAACACTTAGGTACATTACCGATGTTAGATTATTATTAAGAAAATTTCACTTTTAAACAATAAAATTAAATGGTTAAACGAACTTACCTTAAGTGAAGTTCAACCATAATTATACGAAGCTCCTTGTCCTAGACATTCTTAACAATTGTAGTACGCCGCATTCCATGCCAGCATCACAATTTATCCAAGCTCGCTTAAAAAAGATTTTAAAGCAGCAGTATATGTGGCAACACTGTATCAACCCGTCCGTCAATGCAAATTCATTATGTTTAAAGCAAGGAATTAGATGAGCAACCCTAACCCAGGGAGGGTTGGGCTGGGAGTACCGTCTAGGACAAGGAGCTTCGTATAATTATGGTTGAACTTCACTTAAGGTAAGTTCGTTTAACCATTTAATTATACTCTCTCCTTGTCCTAGACATTCTTAACAATTGTAGATGTTTGAAGACGGGGTTGCGAATTTATAATAACAATAAATAGAAATCTGCAATTTTCCTTATTTTATAAAAAAAAATTGTAGATATTTTCTGTATATCCTAAATTTAAATTAATAACATAAAATAAATTATCTTTATTTTATAATATTTCCTTATACACATAAGGCCAGCTTGATTGCAGCAGAAGTGGCCCTGTAGAAGAATTATGACTGAAAAAGGAAACAATCTGGAATATCTATTCCAGTTTAATTTATAATACATTTTCACTTAACATCCTATAACTTACTAACTTACTTAAGAAATACTATTCGAAGTGGGTTAAATTTATCACTATCTTGGGTTCTGTTTTCTATTAAATATTCAACCCCTACTCATTTATTTTTTCCCATACAAATCCTGTTGAAGTGAAATTCTATCTATATCTTAACTATACATCGGAGCTCCCCTTTGAATAAATGTAATATTTTTTGAAGGACAATGTACGTATATTATAACATGTAACTTATCACAGCTCAGCTTGTTACTAGATTTTGTAAATTTCCGTATTCTCAATATTTATTACAATAATCTGTTGTTAATTAATCTAAAAGTAACTTATTATTAAGTCTATTTTTCTAACTCAAACCTAAGTAAAAGGCACAAAAGCCCAGTAAGGAATTCCATTTTACTTACTACAATTTGGTACGATAGAGAATTAATAATTTTATTATTTTATAATTTATAGTATTTGACACAGGAGAGTTCACTATAATTCTTAGTACGAATTTGGGAGTAAATCTTGGAGTGCCATATTTTACAAAATGCTTCACTAATAGTAACCTATGATGTGTATGAGATGTCTATGAGATGACTGTAACATGACACAGTAGACATTAGAGGAAATACATAAAAGAAGAATCGTCACCCCATCTAATATAACTGCCATGGTATCTGGATCATATCTACAGAACCCCATTGTTAAGTATATAATATTTTTACTATTTATCGTTACTAATTTGATCAATTTTTAGCTTTTGACACTGCTTTATGATTTTGTTGAATAGACTTGAAAGACTTCCTCCGATTGTTCTTTGTTTACTTGGCTCAATTTTAGATTGTAGGTTTAATTTCCATATTTTTATTTAATTTAAGGTATTGAATCCTCAATAATTAATGAATAGAACCCTCTCTATCTTGTTAATATACGAAGCAGGGGTTTTGTCAACTCTAAGAAAAATTGTGCACCATAAGTATTATTTAGTTGTAGTAATTTTATTATTCATTATAACTATATTGTTTTAGTTTTAGAATTTTTGACTCCAGTAAATAAAACTTTTTTCGTCCGATGCCCTATAATGCAACCCACACCAGACAAAGAGTTAAAATTTGTTCCATAGCTCCGCTTAGCCCATGAGCCATCTGTTACGGTTATACAGGGTACACCTCGACTATCGACTTCATGATTTTCAAAAGCAAGACGCATTTCTTCCGCACCTGCTTCTAACATAAACTGCAATGCTATATCTTTTTGAATTGTATAAAGCTCTTTACTTTTTTTTAATATAATATGTTTCACTCATGTTGGGCATGTTTATACTTGCGCATATTTCGTCAAGCTGAGCCCATCCATTACCAGTTTGTGAAACGCCTATTATATTTAAATTTATTGGGTTTTCTTTAGATCCTTGATAACATGTTTGAGATCTAATTTTTTCCATTTTATTGCACAACCGGCATTTAAAATAAAATTCTGAAAAAAATCCAGTTCTTGGCTCTTTTACAAAACCTAAATGTTGAAAATTACATTGAAAGGGATGGTGCGATATATTTTTAATTTGCTCGAAATGATATGCTCTATTAACTATCCTATTACCTTCCAAACTTGTATTTATGTTGCTATTATCCTTACTAATAATCTCAACAGGTAGATTTATATCCGAATTTGAATCGCTGGATTGGTTGCATGGTGACGTCAGTTCTGTCTGCGTGACCGGTGTGATCCTGTAAACACAATATTTTATCAGAACCGCCAAAAACATACGTTTACGAAATTGATTTCTGAAACTGATTATACTCAAAAATCCGGTGTGTTAGGTGCAAAAGCAACGTCAGACTCTATGATATCGCTTTGATGCTGGTAGTTATAGGAGTGCATCATTTTGCGCGGTACTTCGTGAACATCTGCTTCTACTACATCTTTATTAGCATTTTTCCAGTTTGATCTTGAGGTGCATTATGTACTTCCGCTTGAACTATCATTTGCTTCGATGACCTAAATCACAAAGATTAAAAATTAGTGAATACATATACTCGCTATGGGTTCTTCTTACTAAGTAAATATTACTTCTTTCAACACTGTTTACTTTTCTAATCTTATCACTTATCAGTTTGGCGGAAAAGTTGCCACAATATTTGCTTGACGTGGGTTTTTGGCGACATTTGCGGTATATCTCGATATACCCGTAGAGCACCTAAAAAGAAAGGTATATGTCACCAGATGATGGTAAACTCCGTTAAATAATAAAGTATCTTGAGAGATTATAAACTCGAATACAACTTAAAACTTGAGAAATTACAAACTGTGAACTGTACATTTTTCTACAATGTTATTGGCATGAAAATAATTATTATACACGAAAAAAGAACTTACGATTCAGACATAGTCATTCTTGCAGGAATATTTTCTTTATTTGCATTTGAAAATCTCCCTTTTACTCTGCATCTCTGATTGCGAGCGACACTTGGCAATACGCTGGTCTTTTTGCCCATTCGCTTATCCTTGTTTGGCTCTGTAACACAAAAGATTATTCTGTATGGTACAGGATTCAATTCAATATACCGACAAAGGATGCCATAAAAGCAGTTAACAAAAGGTTTACAGCAAAATACCTGTGATTCTCTTCACAACGCCCTCCTAGCAAAGTTGACAGCTACAATCGATAACGAATGACGTCACTGAACGTAAGTCACGTGGTCAGTCCAAACAAATAAAAGACGTGAAAGAGATTTGATATGAAACTTTTGTAACTTGGATAGGGGGCTGGCCTGTTTATGCTATTGATAACCAAGGCTATAAAATATGTACAACTTATAAACTAAATCGTATGTACACTTATCTCTATTTTTAACCTAATATCTGAGGTAGGTTGCTGCGCTCCTTAGTTTTTATGTAGTTCGTATTATTCTGTAAGAAATCTAATCTAATCCAAAATATGCTATAATACCATATCAAATCTACTACTATTTTCTATAGTAATAGGCATCTAGGTACGAATGTATATTAAATTACTACTTCATGTCACAAAGTAACGGGTAGTTTCGGGTGGCCGAGCCGTGCCCAGCCGAGCCGAGCTTGTGATGTGAGTTGGGTTGCCAGGTTTAAAACCGAAAAGCCGGACGAGCTAGGCCGGACACTTTTAATTTTTTAGTCTTAGTATAACGACAATCTTTTTAAAAGTAAAACAATGTTTTTATCACTTACCATAAACCTCTTAAATTCTAATGAAATATCAATAATTGAATATTTAAATCAACCTTCTTTATTATTAATCATTCAATATTCTTAAATATAAAAAAATGAGTAGGTAAGTAATCTGTGGTAAGAATAAATATAAACAAATATTTAAAAAACAAAAAAAAAAAAAACAGCCCACTCCCACAATCTACAAATTAAATATACATATACTCAACAAAGCCAATAATACACGTTTCTTTTTCTAGTAGGACCCTTTTCAAATTTATTTTTACTATTTGTTGTTATAGCGGCAACAAAAATACACGTTCTGTGAAAATTGCAACCATCTACCTATTACGGATCATGAGAAACCCTTACAGACAGACACACGGAAAGCGGAGGCTTCGTAATGGAGTCCCATTGTTTACCCTTTGGGTACGGAATCCTAAAAAGTCACATCTGTATGGTTCTTTCTTCAAAAGACCATATTAGACACCTGCCTGGTTCTTGTATGACATGACTAATATAATACCTTTAATTTAAAAAAGACTATGACATCTCTGAGTTTGTTTCGGCAGATCGTGTGCTTCTCAGTTTCATTATTTTGTTGTGTAGTGTTTTTTTAAAAAAAAAACAACATACAAAACAAATTTCACTTATCACTGACTGCCCTTCTTAGATTTTTATGTACTTCCATAAATTGGATTGGGTATATTAGATTCCTATAAGTACGATTATCAAAAATCTAAAAATTTCCAATTCTAATTAAATTAATATTTATATAATTTATATAATTTCTGACTGCCTCGTTGGTCTAGTGGTTGTAAGTAGTGCGACTGCTGATCATGAGGTCCTGCGTTCGAGCCCCGGGTGGGGCCAAAAAATCAATTATTGAGTTTTTCTGTCAAGAAATTCTCAGTAGCTGCCCGGACTGAGGAAGTTGGCGGTGTCTCATTCCCGTGCCTCGGAAAGCACGCAAAGCCGTTGGTCCTGTGCCTGATTTCTCTCTCGGCCGTGTCGGTTTACCGTCCCATCGGATTACGAGAGTGAGGGAATAGAGTGTACCTGTGCTTGCGCATACACTTGGGCACTATAATTCTGTCCTGCGCCGATGGCTAGCCTCCGTTGAGACAGGCCGCCGTTTTGTCTCATGAATTTTACTCACAAACTAAATTCAATCAAAGATTACACTTACCCATTGTTCCCTTAATTGCTGAAGATCACTTCAATTCACTTCACTGATACAACAAGTTCAAATTCAAATGCCGTGTACTAGATCATTACAACTATTAAATCGGAATCCAAAGTCCAATGCCAGGGTCAGTAAAATTTGAGACAAATCAAAATAATCAAAACAAAATATCTATCAATAAAGGAATATCAGAATCCAAAGTTCAAGCCAGGGGTCAATGTTATAAAATATAATTTACGAATACGTTAGCACACTATCAGTTACATACAAAGTTTTTTTATTACGATTACGTATGCAGCAGCCGACTGAGCATGTGTGGGTGCACGCTGCGCTCCCCCCCCCTTCGTTCGTCCCACTGATCGGGGGAAACAATTTGTAGCGAAAGGCAAGATGATATACAACAAAACGAAGCGCGCGAAATTTTATAAACAGACCTTTGGTAGTCTGGATGTCATGAAAAACCTATTACATGTATCTGTTCAAAATGAAATTATTTGCATTTTTGAACAAATAATCCCTGTATGGTAACTGTTTTGCAATTTTCTTTCTTCTTATGGTATTTATTTCCGCCCAAAAATGTGTTAAAATTAGTGTTGAAATTTGAAATTTTCGACGCTTATAACTTTTAAACATATTATTTTTTTACTTTTTTGTTTCCATACAGGGCTAGATAATGATGAGATAAATTGAAATCATTTTTTATTTTGAATGTATACCATCAAAGAGTGGAGTAATCGCCAGACTACGTTTGTATGGAAGAATGGGCGACTAGTGTACCCTTAATAGTGAATTTGTTCGATAATTTATCATACTTGTTAATAAATGCGCACGGTGAATCTGATTTTATTATTTAATAAATGTTTTAATTTATTTATTTTATATACACGTGCATCTACCTCGAACAATAGGATTTTTGTTTACCGCTGATCGGTTGGCTCCATTTTGAATATCTTCCTTTCCCAAGTACATAATCCAATTATTACAACGCAGATACGTAATAAAGTTATTTGTAGTAGGTTTTGGATACAAAACATTTGATTTTACACTAAACATATTTAATTTTTACAACAAAAATTATAAAAACACACTGTGATGGCTGGCACGAAAAAACCTAATGATGAAGTTGCATTGACGGACGGGTTGATACAGTTTTGCCACATATACTTCTGCTTTAAAATCTTTTTTAGCGAGCTTGGATAAATTGTGATGCTGGCATGGAATGCGGCGTACTACAATTGTTAAGAATGTCTAGGACAAGGAGAGAGTATAATCACATCCATATTTCTATAACAAAAATAATATGTTATGTTTAATATTTACTTCAAATACATTACCATACTTTGACCATTCGGTGCATTAATCGCAGTCAGTACCGTAAGGGGCTTACGTCAGACCTGAGTTATTAGTTTTGTACTGGAAACGAGGATCGAAACGGGGTCTGTTAATGTAAAGGATGAAGGTGGAAATTTTAAAAATATTTTAGATCCTTATTAATAACACTTCGATTATACATATATTTACAATTTTTATATTAGAATAAGTATTAAATTTTGCTAGTTCTAGGTTTTAGAGATATAAAATTTTATATTTATTCATGCAATTCGCAATACTTATAATAACAAATAAGAAAATTCTAACAGAACTAAGAATAATTTTTTGCTATTTTTTTTAAATGAGGAAACAACTTATAATTTTCAACTAGTAATAGTTATTCGTTATCTAGGTATTTTATGTGTTTTAAACAAATGTGTTAATAGACAAATAACATTTTTATACAGGATTATTTTGCAATAACCGGCCAAAGTTGCAGAGAAGTTTCAGTTTAAGTAATATGGGCGTATGTTGAAGAAAAATGAATTCAAAAAGATCTCAAAATTCTGTCCTTTTTATCTTTCAAAATGAGTGGCAATGAATTATTTTCACTGATTTTACTGCGCACGCATAGATTCGTAAGGGTCGATCGGTAGGCAAAAACGTTGTTGCCCATAAATCACATTCAATTTGGGTTAATTTCAAATAAAATTAAAAGCCTAATTTACTCGTATTTTCAAAAACTGCAATCATTATCAATATCATTTAAAAATTTGTACCTAAGCTAAAAATTTGGCTACTCTGTGGAAAATAACCCTGTATAATCATTTTTTATCTCTTTCATTCATTCATTACACCCTATAAAAGTCCACTGCTGAACATAGACCTCCCGACAAATTGTTTATCACAAAGTGGAGAGATATTTTAATAGTTGCCAAGCTTGGCAGGTGGGTTGGCAATAGCATTTTTTATTTTCTAGTTATTATTAGAACGACAAACATGCAAAACCACCACCCAAATCTTTATATTTTTTTGATCCCAGAAAATCCTTTACACAGTAATTTCCATTGAGAAACGTTAAGTTATGAAATAATTTTTTTACACTTATATAAATAAAACAATTAGATCAAAGATGTAAGAAAGAATGAACATATATTTTTATAACACTTAAGTGACAAACAAACTTGCTGCAACTAACGTCAAACAAAGAGTGAGCAGATGCGTTGTCACCTGTGAGGGCGGAGAGAGAATGCCTTACAGCCTGTAAATACTGGCTCTGTATACCCTTCAGACCGTATAGTGGGTGGTACCTACCCAAACCAACTACCACTTTTTGTAATATTATGTATGTCATCTTTTCTCCACGTCCACGCCGTGCCCATTGCTGATTCGAAACGGCGGCAAACTGATAGTCGAAAATCTGTGAAGTATGCCATTGAGGCTTATATCATGTCTGTGATTTATTGCTTGAAGTTAATTGCAGGCGCCATTGCAGCCAATTATCCTCAATTGAATTTTCATCTTGTTGGACACCTAAAATTTTATAAAAGAAATCAAAACCATGCGACTGCTACTAGCTTTAGCGTTTAGATATAAATTTACTAAAATTAACTTCGGCACTTTTTCTTCAACAATCAGCTTAAGCATACCTTTCCTAACATTTCAAAAAAAAATATACCTATTATGTTACCATGCCTTTTGGGTTATATTTAAGTAAATAAAAAATATCTGACTTTCTAATTACGAATTAACTCCGGCTCTAACACAATAAACGTTCAGTGAACCTGTCGTTGGAATCGCATCTAATAAAATATTACAAAATGTCCTTTGATGGAAACTGGTCACAACGACGTGGCACTTTAACTAATTTTACGCAATTCTCATCGGCCTTCAAAATAAACCCTAATAAAATACCCCCCTCTCTTGGCAATTAGAATTCCAGTAGATTTTCACATGCACCATTTCACACAAACAGTTGAAATTGAAACCAATTATCGTGACACATTTAAATATTCGTAATTCGAAACAGGTGTGCCATCGTTTTCTTAAATAAAGAACCAAACATATTTAAATCCTCCTGTCTAGATGGAGCAACAATCCACACCAGATGGTTGGTAGCAATTTGATACGTGAAGGAGAAAATCGGGTTAAGTGGTGTGCTTTAGAAGCACCGCTGCTCATCTTCTGTATGTTTCTCCTCCCGTTTGTTAGATTTTCTCCAATAAAACCACGGCACTTTACTTAGTTAACTGTTTAATCACTATATTCCGTGCTTAATCACACTCTCAAACTGTATATGAGTGTTTTAACACACTACACTTTACTTTTACAGAGAACACTATATTTTAATTCCACTTTGACTTACAATCTTTCGAATCACTTAATTTCACGACAGACTTAACTATTATAACCTTCTCAGTACCAATGTACGTATTCAACTGCCGGGCGTGTCAAGTGTAGGCGCTTTTATATTATGACTCGATTTTAGAATTAATGCGGGTAGTTTGAAATGGATTCATATTGGTATTAATTGTGAAGATTGCCATGTAATATTGCATAATGATTATTTATCTAACACTCGACCAATCCTGACACTAGACGCGTCCCCGCGTAAAAACAGTACCAAAGATATTAGGTTTTAAATTAACAATAATTACAATAAACTGAAATATGTATAGCAACAAATTACTATTTTTTTTTTCACTTAGCACTGCCTAAATAGCACCATTTGGCATCGGTTTTCTCTTTTAACTGTAATGAATGCCGTTGCACAGAACGGTCCACACCGATACCACTCAGTAACGGCTCACTTTTATCTCTAATGAATGCCGTTGCACAGAACGGTCCACACTGATACCATACGGCACCAGCTCACTCTTTAAATCTAAGAAATGCCGTTGCACAGAACGATCCACACCGATACAATTCAGTAACGGCTCACTTTCTTATATCTAATGAATGCCGTTGCACAGAACGGTCCACACTGATACCATTCGGTACCAGCTCACTCTTTAACTCTAAGAGATGCCGTTGCACAGAACGGTCCACACCGATACAATTCAGTAACGGCTCACTTTCTTATATCTAATGAATGCCGTTGCACAGAACGATCCACACCGATACAATTAAGTAACGGCTCACTTTCTTACATCAACTCACTGCATTTTACTCACTATATTCATGCAATATCTATTACATTTTATTCTTAAATATTAAACCCAATTAAAATCTACAACAGAAAGGAGTTATCATAATATTAATTTTTGTGATGACTCTTAAATAATATCAAAACTAATATATAATAATCATATAAATTACTATTGTATTTTTCACACGTATGTATATTGAATTAACATTTTAATATATCTCTTCCTTTATATATCATTATTCTAGAACAAAAATGACTTAACTATAAACTAGAACTACATATGTTAAAAGGACAATAATTTAGAGCAATACACGGATTAATAGGTATTTTACTCTGAGTCACTGGAGATTGGATCATTTTGGAATACCAACCAAGGGTGTATTTTATCTACTGGGTAAACTCCGACGTATGCCGCTTTACCTTCCTTTTTAGTAATGGGAGTGTCTTGAACCTCATATCGATCATGACCCAGGATTTTTGTTATTCTGTACGGGCCGGAACATTTCGGAACCAACTTTCTGGCCTGGCCCGGCGCCGTATACACGTCT